ACTGAGTTTGTGGTAAGTTGTTACAGCAGCAATAGAAAACTGATATAGTGTCTTACTCTGATTATAGCTTTTCTCAGCTGTGCTTGTAAGCAACAGAAATGAAGTTGAACTTCCTTAAGCAAACAAAGCAAATTTTTCCCTAAGCATACAGAGTGTCTCAGGGAACCCAAGGCAGGACAGCCAGGGAGCTACAGAAAGGTTGTAGGACCATAGTGAAACCTGTCACCAGGAGCATCCTTCCTTTGCTCCTTTTGTGTCTGCTTTCCCATCCCCACCCCCAATCCGTTTCATTCTCTTATTTCTGTAAACAGACTTTCTCTGCTCCTTAGTTCTTAAGGTGTAAGAAGGCTCAGCCTCGGCTTCCCTTTGCCTTCTCTTTCTTCACCAGACCAGTCAGCTCAGGCTGTGACTAGAATCTCATTCTCAATTCCCAAGTCCCAGGGAAGGAACTCTGGCACAGTTTGGGCTAGGTGCATGTTATGGGTTGAACTGTGTCCCTCTCCAAAAAGATATGTTGAAGCCCTAACCCTCACTACCTCAGAATGTGACCTTATTTGGAAATAGGGTCATTGCAGATGTAATTAGTTAAGATGAGGTCATACTGGAGGAGCATGGAGGTCATACTGGATCAGGTCATACTGGGCGCTTATTCCAATATGACTGGTGTCTTTATAAGAAGAGGAAATTGAGACAGACACAGAGGGAAGATAGATGCGAAGATGGAGGCAGAGGTTGCAGTTAAGCTGCCATAAACCAAGGAATACCTGGGGCTACCAGAAATCGGAAGAGGCAAGGAAGAAACCTCCCCTAGAGGAGCCAGAAGGTGCGTGGCCCTACCAATACCTTGCTTTTGGACTTCTGGCCTCCAGAACTGTGAGACAATAAGTTTCCGTTGTTTTAAGCCACCCAGTTTGTGGTACTTTGTTACAGAAGCTCTAGGACGCTAATACAGTGCCCAAACCTATCCAGTCAGCTTTGTCTTGGAGACCACGTCTCAAATATAGCTCCTCAAGACTCACTCCTATGGCTTGAGGGGTAGGGGGCCAGTTCCCAAAAAAAGGAAGAATCATTGTAAGCTGGACAGATGCACTGACAAGTTGTCCATTCTGGCTCCCTACAACTAGGACAAATATGATATTCTGATTTTTTTGTTTTGCTTTAAAATATTTGATTCTTTTACCCTCTGGAATGCATTGCAGTGTGCAATGTGAGATAGGAATCTGTTACTTCTTTTCCATACGTAACCTATTTGTCCTAACAATTTTTATTAGTGATTACCCCTTCCTCTCATCACTATGTTGCTTCTTGCTTATTAGTCAGTGAGTACTGATGATGGAAAATATTTCTGGAATCTCTATGCTATTCCATTCATCTGACTGATTTACCAGGTTCCTGGCATGATAGAAGACTCTAGAGGCTTAACTTTCAACCCGAGTTCTAGAGTGTGACTACCCCTCACTTTATTCCCTCCTCTAAGTGTTTTAGCTATGGCAATTTGGAATATCTAACTTTTGTTTTTGAGGGGGGAGGGGGCTTACAATATGTTCCTGACCTTTTTATTGTAACGGACCAGGGGAACTCTTCGGGTGGAAGATGTTGTGCCCTTTTTGTGTCCCCTTTTTGAAAATGGTCCCTGACCCTGTTAACCCTGGTCTTGAGGATGAAGACAAGTCAGACAACAGCAAAGGACCCTCACATTAAACTTTGTAATAAATATGTGCCTGGCACACAGTAAGCACTCAATAAATGTTAGGTAATTATTGGAATGAAGGCTAGACAACACCTACCTCAAGCTCTTGCCAGTATCCAACAAGAGCTCCTTCCTACATCTCCCCCACCTAAAGTCACGCATGAGAGTGGGAAGGAGATGTGGTGGGCTGAACAATGGCCACCCTAAAATATCCACGTCCTAATCTCTGGAATCTGTGTATATATTACCTGACATGGTAAAAAGGACTTTATAAATGTGGTTAAATTAAGAATCTTACATGGAAAGATTATTCTGGATAACCTAGGTGGGACTTTTATAATCACAAGTGTCCTATAGGAGTGACATATGAGTCAGAGAAAAAGGAGATGTGACTACAGAAGCAGAGGTTGGAGAGATGCATTTGGAAGATGGAAAAAGGGGCCAGGCACCAAGGAACGCAAGTGGCCTCTAGAAGTTGGAATGGATCCTCTAGAGCCCTTAGAAGGAACTCAGCTCTGCTCACACCTTGATTTTAGCCCAGTGAGACCCATTTTGGACTTCTGACTTCCAGAACTGTAAGATAACAAATTTGTGTCATGTTAAGCCACTAAATTTGTGGTAATTTGTTACTGCCGCAATGCAACATGAATACCAAGGGAATCAGAATTTCATTGAACTTCTGCAAAATTTGCACTCCTGGACTCAGGTCCTTGTTTAAATTGTAGGGTTTGACACCCACAGAACCTAGTGGTAGCTCTCCTGTCATGTCACCCCACCCAGATTTTCACCTTCCTTCAGGCCTTTTCTCTGGGATTCTACCTATCCCCTGATTTCTGCCCAAGAATCTTCTTCCTTTCACCAACCTTTGAGGCCTAGATTTGATAGCTGTCCTAAGATACTGATGTTAACCCCACATGCTTGAGACTAGGGTTATTAGAAACAAATAGAAAGTCAGGGAGCAAATTAAATTCATATTTCAAATAGCAATGAGAAACCTTTTTAAAAATTGGGGCATTTTCTGTCCCAGCATCAGGCCAAAGAGAATGAAAGCTAGAGAGACACTGAGAACCAGAGACTGAGGAACGAATTTAGCTAAGAATAGTGAACCGCATTTTAGGCGTCTGAGCTGTTGCTGAGGGCTTTTTAAGGCCTGAGGCTTGCGCAGAAATTCCCGACCCTTTTGTCCAAGCCCAGAAGGCGAGATACTGAGAGGCAGTAGATACTTAAGTAAAAATGTAGTTTGAAGTTGAAGAAATCTGGATTTGAATCCTGGTTCTGCCAACCACGGTTGCTGGTCTGTTCTTCAAAAACGCCCTAAACGAGCGCCCTGCTAGGAAAGCTCCTTAAACCCAGACAACCCGGTGCATCACCCCAACTCCTAACGCAAAACACCGACTCTGGGTCCGCGTCACCAAAAGAAGGAAAAGTATAAAATGCACGTCTCTGGCACTAACGAGGCGCGCTTTTTTACTCTACTCTCCCAGAATAAAGGGCCCTTTTAATTTTTTTATTTGTGAAGATTTTATTTTTTTCTTTCCGTTCTGTTACTAGCTGGAGCTAAACATTGGCTGGGGCCCCAGGCGACTGCTGGAAAGGCGCCCTCCCAGGAGGAGAAGGCTCGCCTAGGAGAGACTGCGGGCGGGGAGACACCTCGCGACCCTCCAGCGCAGCGCGGTAGGGATTCTCTCGAGTCTTTCTCTGGCCAGGCCAAGCTCCTAGTCTCAGCACCCCGACAGGAGGTGGCGGTCAGGAGACTTCGGGGAACACTCACCGGGTAGCAGGACACGCAGCCCAACCCCCAGCTCCTCCCAGGCGGGGGGCGGAGGCGCCGGCCCGGCCGCCGCGGGGGCGGGGACCACCCACAGCGCCGCGCAGCCCCGCCCCGGCCCCGCCCTCCAACGCGCCAGCCAGGCCTCCCGGCTCGCCGCCCTCGCACGCTCCTCTCGGCGCGAGGAAGTCCCGCACCTGGCACGAAATTTTTTCGGAGTCCTCTAAAAGCAAGGTGGGCCGCGGTACGCAGCTCTTTCAGATGAAGATGGAGGAGGGGGCTACAGCGACCAGACTAGGGGTGAGGACTTGGCGTTCTTCCTCCTCGTCCCCCTCTCCCACCCCCACCCCCGTTCCGCAGACAGTGCTAGACTCTGATTTCCAGACGTCTCCTTCCCTAACCCATTCCTAAAAGTTTTCGGTGACAAATTAACTTTAATTCAGAAAAAAATTAAAGTCGGGTTTGGGGATAAAATTACGCGTTCCTACATCAGAATTGGGAATCTTTCGACCTAATTTAGCCCGGAGAGGGCGGGGTTGTGGGAAGAGGGTAGTGCATCTGGTTGAGGGAGATTGGGCGAGTGGTGAGGCCCAGAGGTACAGCGGCTTAGGGGAGTCTACAGTCCTCTTCTGGAGGGAGGGCCCATCAGCTAGGCCCTTCTACCCCTCCCTTTCTAGTTGCCAGAATGGAAAATTTATGGAGTCCAGCTTAACCCAGGTGAACAAACTCTTAACTGCCATTTCTGGCTCTCCAGCCCCAGCAAGATCCCTGCTTCTTACACTGTAGAAATACTGAGCTCTGGTACAGAGGAATAGGGGTGTGTTACCTCACCTCCTCTGCACACTGCCAAGGTTAAAGAAGCCCCACTTGCTGGAGAGGGAGGGCCAGACGGGAGGAATTCAAGGGCATGTATGGCTCAGTCCCACCTCTGCTGGCTGCAGAATATAGAGACCATGGTTCCAAACATTTTTCAAAGGAGGTGGGGAGGGATGAATTTGGCTGCTCTTGTACCTCTTGCCCTTGCTGCCATGTTTCCATGGAAATGAGGGAGAGGCAGGATGTAGCTCACTCTGACTACCTGGGAAGATGGCAGGGCAGACATTTAGTAAACATAACGCCTTCCACTCCTACCCAACACATAACAGCTGTCCCCAGCCGACCCCCAAGCTCACTGTCTGCTCCACTCCCTTCCCTTCTGGAGCTGGTATTATGCCAAGTGGACTCCAGCCAGGTCTTGCTGGCAACAGCCAGAATCTGATGTCCATCAAGCTCAGTAGCAGCCCTAGTAGAGGTGTCGGTTGTAGTGCCTCGGTGAAAAGCAGCACCTAGTACCCCCGGGACTCTGTGCAACGGCTGTTTCCCAAACATCTCTTCTCAGACAAAACTTAAAAAAAACATAAACCCAACTGAGTAAGGTTAGAAACAATACAAAAGAACTCTCTAACAATGCTGAGGGCTAGGATGGGGAGAGGAGGTGCATCCTTCTGCGAGTTGAGCCACCTGTGCAACCTGCCTTCTGCCCACTGGGCGGTCTCTGGGGGGCTGGAATCCAAATCTCCATTTGGTGCTGAGAGCTATACCCATTGCTGTTGGTTGATGAGGCTCGCCTGTCGCCATAGCGAGGAGGTGCAGGATGAATTCTCAGTACCATGGGTCAGCCTGGTGCTGCTGGTTGTAGAGCTGTAGCTTGATCTGATCGCGGATCTGATTCACTAGGATCTGGGACAGGAAGATTCCCACCAGCTGGGAGAGGCAAGAAAAAATAGGGCCCTCAGTAATGAGTGATGCCCTTGTTTTCCCTGACTCAATCTTCCCAGGGCGGTCAGCACCATCCCATCCCCTGCCCCTCAGCAGCGTCAGTACCTGACACCCTAGCTGATGCCCAGGTGCCCTCCCCAAAACAAAAGTCTTTGCAGAAGTGTGGAACCCACAAGTCTTAAAGGGCAAGTTACCTGGGGGATGGCCAGGCCCAGTGCCACACCACCAACTAAGAAGAGGTTGCTGTGTATCCAGTTGACCAATTTGTCAATACAGCCATTGGTGTAGATGACTTTACTAGCTTCCAAGTAGTCAAGGGCCTGCATACCTTGGCCACACATGGTATTGATCACTGCCTGGGGAGAGAGTTGAGAAGCCAAGTAGAACTCCTATTCCAATAACTTTTTCTTTTGGGCCCTAGCTGATAGGCTTCCCACCCTTCCTCAACTCCTAAATTCTTAGAGAATATATGTAGAGGATGCCAGGTTGGAAGTTGCTCAATGCAGGCTGCCCTTCTTCTGAGAGATCTGAGTCCGGTGCTCCTTGCTTTAGAGACCTGCCCCTTCTGAACCCTCATGTGGGCTACAGGAGTGAAAGGTTAACAGAGCCATCAGATTAGGGTGAAGAAAATCATCTGACACCTGTCCTGCAAAATTGATTGGTTAAGCTAGGGAATGGGGATTCCCAACAGTGGCTGCCTTAATGAGAAAACAACTCAAATCACTGCCCAGGAGGAAATGAGGTGGGATGTGTGCTCACCTGGTTGGGGGTAGGCAAGCAACAGGAGTAAGGCACAGAGCAGCGCTCACGGCTGGGGTTGTCTTCTGAACAGTTGAAGTACATGTTCAGGGACCAGTCCTTGTAGGAAATCCCTCCACAGCAGCTGAACTGCAACAAAGCCCATCACAGAGGTTAAGAATCACCCACTCCTCACACTGAGGTGACCAGAGGAATTCTCAGAACAGCCAAAAGTCTACGGCAAGCTTCAACTTGTAAGTTCAGGTTGTGTTTACACACAACCTTGAACCTTGAGCTCAGGTTTCTCAGTGACCTTCACCTGAAGAAGTTTTCTCTTAATTCCTATTACTTTATATATTTTATTATAACTTACCATAGTTGTATATATATTTTGTTTTACACATTCAACTGTGAGCTCCTTGAGGGCAGTTGCTGGTTTTGTAGTCCTGCCTAGCATAAAGCCTGGCAAAAGGAGGTGTTCAAAAATACTGGCTGAAATAATTAAAGAATCAGCGTTGAAAATATTTGTCTTAATATAGAGAAAACACAGGAGGAGATACTTCAATATTGTGGGCCCATAATTAGTCCATGAAAGCAAGTAGGATCCAAGTCAAGTGGCTGTTGCACCCAGGGAAGGGGACCTCAGCACTGGTCTCAAAAGCACTTTTATTTAAAAGTTAACTTTTGATTCATAGCCACATTATTCACAATAGCCAGAAGGTGGAAATGACCCAAGTGTGCATTGAAGGATGAATGGATTAACAAAATGTGGTATATGCCTACAATGGAATATTATTCAGCCTTAAAAAGGAAGGAAATTTTGACACATCCTACAACATGGATGAACCTTGAAGACATGCTAACTGAAATAAGCCAGTCACAAAAGGACAAATATTGTATGATTCCACTTATATGAAGTCCCTAGAGTAGTCAAATTCATGGAGACGGAAAGTAGAATGGTGGTTTCCAGGAGCTAGGAGGAGGGGGAAATGAGGTGTTAGTGTTTAATGGGTACAGAGTTTCAGCTTGGGAAGATGAAAAAGTTCTGGAGATGGATGGTGATGATGGTTGCACAACAATGTGAATGTACTTAGTGCCACAGATCTGTACACTTAAAAATGGTTAAAATGGTAAGTTTTATGTGTATTCTACTACAATTTAAAAAATTTAACTTTTGGATATGTAATATTAAAAAATCTGCCTGGTTACTCATCTCTCTATAAGTAACCACTTAGAATGGTTTTTTACATATCTTTTCAGATTCATTGCAAATATGAATACATATTCTTTCCTCCCTCTTTTTTTGCACAAATGGTAGATTACTATATATACTGTTCTGTGCCCTTAAAAGTACTTTTAAAGCACTCTATGTTTTTTTGCCAACCTCCTTTCCAGAATCCATTACCTGGCAAGTAATGAAGAAGCCCACAGGACTGGAGGGTGAGGCGTCTCTTGGGATGGCTTTAACTTTTGCCCACAGCCTCTCAGACCACTAGCTGACCCCACCATCCCCCTCTTAGCCCATACCTTCTTCTGGCCAAAATCAATGAGGTTCTGCAGGTCCAAGTCATCTCGGTAGTGCACGATGGCATTATTGAAGATCTCACTCACTTTCCCCCGTGCCTGCCAGAGACATGAGTAGGAGATCAGAACACAAGACTAACCTCTAACTGGCTCCTCCCTGTAGAAATAACAGCAGATAGTAGTCATCCTTCTTTATTTAAATCAGCCTTGAAATCACAACCAAGTCCCAGTGATGGAAGATGGCCAGTTCTGAAGCCCAGCATCCTTGGACCTTCAGGTACCAGTGAGCAAGAGAAATGCTGGACCTGCAGTTGCCACTTCTCAGAGCCACATTTCAAGATAATCCTATGTTTATCTACCTCTGAATACTATTACCACAAAATACTTGTTGATTGATGCAAAGCAGAGAAACTTTTTTTTTTTTTTTTAGTAGAAAAGGGCTTACTGAGCTGAGGCACTGACCTCTAGTGGACGTAAGAGAATTGCATCTAGAATCAAAACAGCTCTCTATCATTTTAGGAATTTACTAAGCCAGAAGGATTAGGACATTCTGAATGAACTCAGTGGCTCTCAATTTCATAGTTTCTACCATGCTTTCTTCCTTCCTGCTCCTCTACTTTTCTGAAAGTTTCTTACCCATAGCCCTATATTCTGCCCCTGGCAATCATTTGCCCTTTAGGAAAGAATTCTGGTTTTTAATTAAAAGGACTGTCACTGAATGGCAGACCACTTCCAGATATGGTAAGCACTGTTTAAAATGTCGTTTACTTTCCCCCTTCCTTCTTTCTGTTTATCTCAATAAACAATTTTTAAAAGTAAAAGGCTCTTCATGTTGTCTGTGGTCCATTTGATAATTGAGGTTTTTTTGTTTTGTTTTTTATTTTCCCCAAAGCCCCAGGAGATAGTTGTATGTCATAGTTGCACATCCTTCTAGTTACTGCCTGTGGGACGCGGCCTCAGCATGGCAGGAGAAGCGGTGCCTCGGTGCGCGCCTGGGATCCGAACCCCGGGCCGCCGGTAGTGGAGCACGTGCACTTAACCGCTAAGCCACGGGGCCGGCCCTGATAATTGAGTTTTACCCAATCATTTGCCATTAAAGTTTGCCGATTATTTTAACTTTGTATTCATAGAATTTACTTCCCATTTGGTATCAGACTGTCAGAGGAAAACACCTTACAATCTCAAAATCCTCTTTAAGTAGGGTGACTTTAAAGGCCATTCATTCATCCCTAAGGAGAACCTTTCAAAGGCTGATGCTTCTCAGGGGAAGGAGCACTGTGGTTAATTAATCAGGCTAAGCACGGGCAGGAACCTTCCCTTCCTCCCTCTGGTTCACACCTTAGGAGGCCCCCTGGCTCCCAAGGCTACCTTATCTGAGAAGATGAAGCCCAGGATCCCAGCAGCCAGCTGCAGCAGGAACACAATGGTGAGGCAGAGCGAGAACTGTGGGGAGCAGGCAGGAAAAGGAGACAGTCTGTTACCATGCTGGGCAGTAGCCCCTCCCAGGGCCAGGGGGAGTATTGGGGAACCACGGGGCACTTCTCCCAGATGCCCCACACACGGTAAAGGCTGCTGCCTCTGCGATACTGTCTTGGGAATGGTCACCTGTGCTGAGTCACTTGGGCTAAGCTCCACAATGAGTGGACAGCATAGGCCTTGGAGGTAGGGTGGGACAGGACACCAAAAGCTTGTAGGAATGCCTTCAGGAGGCTGAGAGGCACATGGAGGAGGGGCCAGAGTCTTTCCCGTGAGGCCCCTGAGCACTCACCGTCTGCAGGAGGCAGATGTTCTCTCGGAGGGATCCAATACAGCCGCAGAAGGTGAGCAGGAACATGAGGATGCCCACCACGATCAGCAGGATGGCAGGGTCCACTGCCAAGGAGGCCAAGGCTGCTTCTGGGGGAGAGGGCTGTCTCTCAGTCTGAGCCTAGTGCCAACGGGGGGTTACCCAGGGATGGGGTGGGGGAGTGCTCCTGCAAAATGTTCTCCTCCGGTGGGGAATCTCCAGTGTGGTTGGGTGAAGGTTATAGGGAGGCAGTACTGCCTTCCCACGAGGAGAACAAAAAGGGCCCAGAAGGGTTTGTGGCATTTAATTTGAGGAACTAACAAAGTAAGAGCCTTTATTCCTGGGCTTAAGAGAGGAGGGACCACTTTCGCTCCAGAAAAGAATTAGAACGGCATTAGGCTGGCCAGCTTTGCAGATTCCGTTTCCTGGAGACTTTGTGCAGTGGACTAGGAATGGAGGTTGAGTTACTCCAAAGCAAAGAAGGGGCTAAAGCCTCCGATTACTCTGCATCCAGAGGCCGACCTTCTTTCCTAGACACTTCCTAGGCCTAAAATGCAGGCATATCTTGGAAGATTTGTGGGAGCTCAGGGAAATCCAGGTGAACTGGTGTGGGTGGCCTGATGCCTTGGAGTAGGCAGCTAAGATTTGGCTAAAAGGCGGCTACCCCTATAGCCCCGTAGTTCATGTGGGAAGGAGTGCTAGAGGGCCAGGGCTGAAGGAGGCAGAGGAGGAAGGGGCATGCAAGAGTCGTGGAGAGACGGATGGGACCTATAGCTCACCTGCGTGCTTCATCAGCCGAGCATAGACTCCCACGGCCACCATCGCCATGGAAATCACCTGTAGAAACAGGGAACGAGCCAGACCCTGAGATTTTGGAAACCAGAGAGCCCTGATGGCCATGAATAACCTTCAAGGAGAGCAGGAGGAGGACGACTTCCCCAGGATCCAGAGATAAGTATCTTCCTCCTCCCCAGTGACACCGTTGATAGTACTTGTCAGAGCTTTACCTCCACGAGAGGCTTTTACCAAGATTAGCTCATTCGATCCTCACAACATAGTTATCTTGTGAGGCAGCTATTATCCCCATTTTACAGATGAGGAAATTAAGGCAATATAAAGTTAATACAGAACAGTGGTTACAAACATGGGCTTCGGAGTGAGTCAAACCTGGGCCCATGCTGGACAAATCTCTTAGCCTCAGTTTCTGTATCTGAAGGTGGGAATTAAAAACAACCACATCTAATAAGATTACTGGAAAAATTAAGTAGAAGAATACATGGAAAGCATTTAACACAATGCCTGACAATAAATATTATCTATCATTACTAACAGTTAACTTGCCCAGGGTCACAAAGAAACTCTGTGAAGTTCTGAATTCTAATCTAGCTACATCAAAGGGGAGGTCTTCAAGCTGAAGCAGTCCTGAGTAGATGCACACTCCCAGGTCTCCCTCTCTCGGAGGTCAATGTGGTGCCAAATGCAGGAATGAAAGTGCATACCAATTTGAAAGAATGCACGTGGGAATGCGTGTGTGCAAAACAGCAGAACTGCCTTGGCAGAGGAACCTCTATCTTTATAAACCCCGATTCCAGTATGGAGGAATAGAGGAGTTTAGACCTTTCAAACTTCCTGGCTTCTCCCTGAGAGAACAAACCCATCAGAGTCTACCAGGGGTCCCCAAAGGGGCCTTCTCTGCCCCTCCCCGCCCCCGCAGGCCTCCAGGAGTGAAGGGAGGCCCAGCGTGCACAACCCTTGGCCGTCCTTTCTTTGTGCCCAGTCCCCAGGCTGGTGCTAAGCAGCAGTGGGCTGTCACAACAGCAATAGCTGGGGCCAAGCTCTGGCTGGAGGGACTTCTCAGCAGCAGGAACTTGACCAACTCGGTGGAGAAGGAGATGGCTGGCTAGACTCCACTGTCCTGCAAAATAGAGACCAGCTGAAGCCATCTTGGGGCTTTGGTGGGAGAAGGGAATTGCGCCTCTATAGCAGGTAACAGGGTCAGGCTAGTCTCTCAGTAGAAAGACCTTTTTTCCTTGGGGGCTTCCTTTATTAAGGTCCTCTGCCATCTGGTGCATTCAGCAGTAAATGGGACAGCCTTATCTAAAACCATGTCTTTCAGGACCCTTCTCTGCCTGTATACACAGGTCCCCCTCCTTGCCCTCCAATCATCTGACACTGCCTCTGACTCAGGGCCAGATGTGTTATCTGCCAGCCTTCACACTCTTTGTCCAGGAGAGAGGGAGCTGCTTGCAGAGCTGTGTGTGGGGCTGGAGGTGCCAGCTGGCTTCTTGTCCCACAGCACAACCAGGCTCAGGGAGCAAGGGGGATTGGGTGGGAGGCAAGGAAACCACACGACACAGATCCCAGTCATCCTCAAGGCGCAGAGGAACAGCCCTTTGCCAGAGTGACTGAGCATCTCTGCTTGCCCTTTAAACTCATCACAGCCAATTACATTCTGAATATCACTTTACTGAATCATTTAAAAATATGTATCTGCTCTTTATTTCTGTTGCTCCCAGGCTTGGCACTGTTTTTTCACATGTTATATTTTCACTAGGGTGTATAACTTTCCACAAAGATGGTCTCTGATTAAATCCTAACACAGCTAAAACAAGAAAGGGAAAGTAGAGAGATGCCACGTATCACAGAGTAACTTAATTCCATGTGTGGGCCTGTAATTACAGCAGTCGCGCCGTCTCTATTTGTGGTAGGTAGAATAGTGTCCCCCGCAAAGATATCCTCTCCTAATTCCCAGAACCTGTGAATATGTTACCTTACATGTCCAGAGGGGCTTTGCAAATGTGATTAAATTAAGGATCTTGAGATGGGGAGATTATCCCAGTGGACCCAATAGAATCAAAAGGGACCTTATAGGAGGGAGGCAAGAGGATCAGAGTCACAGAAGACAACGACAATGGAGGCAGAGGTTGGATTGATGTGGTGCTATGATCCAAGGAATGCAGGCAGCCTCTAAAAGGTGGAAAAGGCAAGGAAATAGATTCTCCCTTAGAGCCTCCGGAAGGAATCATCCCTGCCGACACCTTCGTTTTTAGCCTAGTGAGACCCATTTTGGACTTCTAACCTCCAGAATTGTAAGAAAATTAATTTGTGTTCTATTAAGCCATTACGTTTGTGGTAATTTGTTACAGCAGCAACAGGAAACCAATACACTACCCAAATCTAATGCACCAGCTGCTATGTACAAAGTACTCTGAGGACTGCAAAGATGAGTAAGATGTGGCCCTGCCCTTAAGGAAATCTGTGCGTTATATGGAGAGAGGCAAGAGCATCTATAACCTAAAGCAGCACATCTCAACTTGGCTGCCTTTAGAATGAAGGGAGGAGAACCTAAAAACTCCTGATGCCTAGGCTGCACCCCAAACCGAGTATATCAGAATCTCTGGCACTGGAACCCAGGCAACAGTATTTCTGAATGTGTTCCAGGTGATTCCACTGTGCAGCCAAGTTTGAGAACCACAAGCCTAAAGCATACTCAGCCAGGGATCTAGAGCAGCAGGTACAGGCTACATTAAAATCAAGATTAAGACTTTATATTATCATTAATATTTAATATGATCATTAATGATACTGCTTACCTGGAGCTCACTAGCTAACTCTAAAATTCTGCATTTCTGTCTCTTTCTCCTGGAGTCACAGCTTGCCCTTTCACACTTCTATTCCTGCCCACATCTCGCACCTTGACTTCTTCAAAGCTACTGCCATTCCAAAGTTAGTGCTGCTGCTGTTAATAGCATAGCATTTCAGAGCTGAATAGAACCTTAGAAATGAGCTCGGATACTCACCTCTTTTTATAGATGAGGCTGAAAGAACAAAGTGACACTTGACCAAGTGCACATGGGCACAGTGGCAACATCTGGACTAAACTCCATTTCCAGTTTCAGTCTGCTACTCTTTCCACTATATCAGTCTTTGCCACAGAATCCTTGTAACACCCCACAATATCACCAATGACCTCCTTTCATGATGAGGATGGAGATAAAGACACTTCTCTTCTTAGAATGGCTTTTCATATTCTGGCTAGAATGAAGCCTCGCTGGAAACTTTTAAAAGCTAGACAGTTTTAAAAATAGCTGAGTCCAGGAAAAGGCATGTTCCTGAAGAGTTGTTGACCAAATTATATAAAATAGTTTGCACGGACCTGTACCTTTATCCTTATGTAAGGTGAGTAATCATCTTATAATGAAAATCGCCATCCCCTGGGCTCCTTGGAAAAATGGCTGATTCAAGGACTGGGGCAGGAAATACACAAGATAAGCCTGGAGCATATTGTAGTGCCAGAAAGTAAGGAAATGCTCAAAACCAAACAAAAAGCAAAAACAACCCCACGTTGATGTGGGTATGCCAAAGGGACATCAAAATAAAGAAGTATGGAATGATTACCCCAAATATAAAATAAATGGCCATGAGTCCATACGGATATAAGTGACTTAATAAATAAATAAATGGGGGAGAAAAGACAAATCCCCTACGCAGAAGAATTTCAAATCATTTATGTGGATACTGCACTCTCAAGGAGGTGAAGCATAACTCCCCACTCCTAAGGGTGGGCTGCACATAGTGACCTCCTTCCAAAGAGTACAGTATGGAAGAGTGGGGAAAAGACTAACCTTACAGTGGAGAAACCTAACAAACACTACCTCAGCCAGGTGATTAAGGTCAACATCAACAGAGATAAATCTTTGGTATATGATATGATGTGATGAAAATGGTAGTTCACCTCTGTGGTCTTCCTCCCAAAACCTATAACCCCAGTGTAACCATGAGGAAAACATCAGGCAAGTTCCCATAGAGGGCCATCCTACAAAATATCTGACCAGTACTCCTCAAAACTGTTGAAGTCATCAAAACCAAGGAAATTCTGAGAAACTGTCACAGCCAACAAAAGCCTAAGGAGACCTGACAACTAAATGAAATTTGGTATTTTTTTTTTCTACTTTTTTTTTTTGTAAGGAGATCAGCCCTGTGCTAACATCTACCAATCCTCCTCTTTTTTTTTTGCTGAGGAAGACTGGCCCTGGGCTAACATCCATGCCCATCTTCCTCCACTTTATATGGGATGCCGCCACAGCATGGCTTGCCAAGCAGTGCGTTGATGCACGCCCGGGATCCGAACCGGCAAACTCCGGTCCGCCGCAGCAGAGCGCGCTCACTTAACCACCTGCGCCACTGGGCCGGCCCCTGAAATTTGGTATTTTGGATGGCATCCTGGAACAGAAAAAGGGCAATATGTAAAAACTAAGGAAATCTGAATAAAGTATGGACCTTAATGATAATGCCATTAATTGTAATAAATGTATCATACTCACGTAGGATGTTAATAATAAGAGAAACTGGGTGTGCAGTACATGAGCACTCTCTCTACCATCTTCTCAATTTTTCAGCAAAACTAAAACTGTTTTTAAAAATGAGATCTATTTAAAAAATAGCCACCCTTGGGGGCCGGCCTGGTGGCGCAGCGGTTAAGTGCGTACGCTCTGCTTCGGAGGCCCAGGGTTTGCAGGTTCGGGTCCCAGGCACGCACCAACGCACCGCTTGTCAAGCCATGCTGTGGTGGCATCCCATATAAAGTAGAGGAAGATGGGCACAGATATTAGCCCAGAGCCAATGTTCCTCAGCAAAAAGAGGAGGACTGGCATTGGATGTTAGCTCAAGGCTAATCTTCCTCACACACACACACAAAAAATAGCCACCTTCAATTTGTTAGTTTTGTAAATCCACATTTTTTAATATCAGATTTTCTTAAACTGGGATTCACTTGCATGCAATTTTACAAACTTTAATCAGGGTAATTTCTCCTTACACCAAAGCGTAAGGCAGTG